TTGATCTGACAAATCAGTAACAATATATAACTATTGATCTGACAAATCAGTAACAATATATAACTATTGATCTGACAAATCAGTAACAATATATAACTATTGATCTGACAAATTAGTAACAATACCTTACCATTGACTTGACAAATTAGTAACAATGTCTTTTTTGACCTGAAAAAGTAGTAACCCAGTTGTAAGGATTTTAATTAACACATACCCTTGTTCAGAACTACGTTTCACAGGCAGTTAGATACAACTCTTTACTCAGAGGCTTCTGGTCATCAGTCATTGTGGCATAACATCATTAATTGTTATTCACGTTTTCAAATTTTTAAAGATACCCATTTTACTTTGTTGGAATGTCCAGCAATAATTTTCATATTTCAACTTTTTAAAGATACTAATTTTACTTTGTTGGAGTGTCCAGCATTTTATCTCTTCAATTTAAAGACGATAGTACTAAAACAAAAGCTGTTTCAACATTACTTTTACGTACAAACTTATGCCCGAATTAACCTGCTTACCTGCCCAAATGATCTTCCTGTCCCTCATCCCAGTCGGAGCCTGGTTGGGCAGTGTCATTGCCTGAGCACCAGCAGGTAGGCCAATGTTGGCTGTTGGATCATGTGGCATTCCCCCAGACGATGATATGCTGCTTTGCTGGACCATAGACTGGCTGACTGGTTGCAGTGGGTTAGGGACATCAGTGACCGAAGCAATGGCCTGGCTCGACATCTGATCGGGATTAATGCTTGCTGACGGAATGCTGACCTGAATTGGCATCTGTGTCTGTTGTTGTGACTGCTGCATCGGATGAGCTTAAAAAGCGTAGTAATCAGATAAATTAAATAAAGTAAACAAGAAGACGCTGTCGTCGATATCCCCCGCTCGCATATCAACGTCGTTAAAAACATGAAGCGTAAATATATAGGTCAAAGTCAACATCTGCAAAATGCATTCAGTAGAGCAACCCTACATGTAGATACACAATTGATGCAAGCATAATCAGCATAGCACTTGTAGTAGGCAAGATATACAATAAATGAGAGCGATTCTTCTTAACCAGGTACATGGACAGACGCCTCACAGACCCCATTTCTATATCCCTCGCCAACGACAATAACTTACAAATATACAATTGAATGTATGTAATTGCTCTGATAAAAGAATTATCTGTACAGAAGTATCAGTGTATAATTTATATAACTCTCATTCTGTGTTGTACTATTTTTAAGCAGTTTTGAATCTGTCCAGATCATTTATTTTTTGTATATTGGCAGTGTTACTTGGTGTAATATAACTGTTTGCTGATGTAATGAACTAGAGCATTCAAATAAACAAGAATACCAGGAAAATAGCACAGCCTAAAAAATAGCTATTATATCATTGAACAAGAATACCAGGAAAATAGCACACCCTCAAAAATAACCGTTACCACTGAACAAGAATACCAGGAAAATAGCACACCCTCAAAAACAGCCATTACCACTGAACAAGAAAACCAGGAAAATAGCACACCCTCAAAAATAGCCACTACCATTGAACAAGAATACCAGGAAAGTAACACACCCTCAAAAATAGCCATTACCATTGAACAAGAATACCAGGAGAGTAGCACACCCTCAAAAATAGCCATTACCATTGAACAAGAATATCAGGAAAGTAGCACACCCTCAAAAATAGCCATTACCATTTAACAAGAATACCAGGAAAGTAACACACCCTCAAAAATGGCCATTACCATTGAACAATAATCCCAGGAAAGTAGCACACTCTCAAAAATAGCCATTACCATTGAACAATAATACCAGGAAAATAGAACACCCTCAAAAACAGCCATAACCACTGAACAAGGATACCAGGAAAATAGCACATCCTCAAAAACAGCCATTACCACTAAACAAGAATACCAGGAAAATAGCACACCCTCAAAAATAGCTATTACCACTGAACATGAATACCAGGAAAATAGCGCACCCTCAAAAACAGCCATTACCACTGAACAAGAATACCAGGAAAATAGCACACCCTCAAAAATAGCTATTACCACTGAACAAGAACAACAGGAAAATAGCACACCCTCAAAAACAGCCATTACCACTGAACAAGAATACCAGGAAAATAGCACACACCCAAAAACAGCCATTACCACTGAACAAGAATACCAGGAAAATAGCACACCCTCAAAAATAGCTATTACCATGGCTAAAAATTCAGGAGTTCATGTACTATAGAATAGTTGCTTCGAAAAAAGAAAAGAAAAAAGAATATTTTAACAATCTGTTTCAAAATCATACCGGGACAAGGACCTGCCTGAAAGTGATTCTTAGTAGTGAGATTATGCTGTGGTTGTATGGACAAACAATCTTCCAGTTTACATTATTATCTTCCTAAGCCAAATAAAATCTTGTTAACAAATGCAAGTTATCAAGAGTCAGTAAAAGGATCACTATATTCAAAACAAGGGCACCGCAAAGGGGTACAAAATACGCCCGTCACATGTTGAATGACCAGTTGTTTGTATGGTTGAAATATGAAATATTTCTGAGTAATTAACGGTAAAGGAGAAATAATTTTTCAAACATGATAGATCAGTACGTGTTATACAACATCATGGAATGGATGTCGTATTGCATTATTGAAACCAAGGGGAATAACTCTATTGATAGTGAAATATTCGGGACGCATAACTCCAATGATTATGATGAAGAGATCAAGCGGACACTGTTTCGGAAAATAGAAAACGCCCGCCCAGCCGTACAGGTTGAACTGGGCAACACTATATGCTCACTCCCCCAACACCCAATTTTATGCAGGGCATAAAAGAATACAATACGAGTTATCCTTTATATTCACTTTCTACAATATAGTTACATGCAGAGCAACATATACTATATACTGAATGAAGAGACACAAACTTACCACCGTATCTGTTTTGCATGTCAACCTTCAACAAACAAGGGAGGATAATAGTATTAGTATCAACGCAGAAGTCACAACTTTCCATATTTACGAAATTCCAAATGGATTTAAGAATGAGCTTATAAGAGTCTTAAACAGACATATTTATTGACCTGCCTTCTTGAACTGTATAACATCCATGATAGTATCTAAATGTTGAACAATGTCTTAAGGAATAGTCATGGTCACCTTTCATTTGTGATTCACACTCCATACAAATAATGTCACGTGCCAAGTAGTAATTACAGACGACAGCGTTTCTTACCTGTGGTCTCACTGTTGTAGTTGGTCTAGGTATGCTTTGGGGTAAAGTGTGTTGTTGTTGTTGTTGCTGCTGTTGTTGTTGTTGCTGTTGTTGCTGTTGCATCAATCGCTGTTGCTGTGCCTGTTGCTGTGCCTGTTGCTGTGCCTGCTGTTGTTGTTGTTGTTGTTGTTGTTGTTGTTGCTGCTGCTGTTGCTGCTGCTGCTGTTGCTGTTGTTGTTGTTGTTGTTGTTGTTGCTGCTGCTATAATACAACATGATATAAAACGCTGTGTACTTTGATAATTTTCCCTGATGGAATTGAAGCAAATCTACTTCAAATATTTCAAAGATATTTTATCAAATCAATATTACTGTGGACCAAACTTTTATAAAGGCTAGCTATAACGCTGTTCTATCCTCGTTAATTGTAATAGAGTGTAGATAGGGTATGGATAATGTCAATGTTAACGCAGTGTAGACAGGACTGATCCTTCGTCGATAGTGAATAATTTAGGACATGTACTTAAGATTTGCATTTTAATGTGCATGATTAGGGACTGATCAAAATATAATTTGACAATAATTTTGATGACAAAGATTCTTTTTCATTTCACCTCAAAAAGTAGATGTCCAAAGCATATTGAATAGCGAAAGGATCAATGTAAATAGGTTTGGGTGAGAAAACTCAAATAGTTTACATGTGGCATTCCCCGGAAGCCTCTAACTTTAACAGAAAGTCAATGAAGTCACAGTGACGTTTTAAAGATTTATTTGGGCCCATTATAAGGTCCCTTTTCCTGGATAATTTCTGCTGTACTTTCCTAAAAACAATGAGAAAACATGCTTTCTGTGTGTGGTAAATTCTGAATTCACAAGGCAAAAAGGCACAGGCCCTTGAAAAGAGGTAAATAAAACAGATGCATTTTGAATTTGACATAATGTGTATGGAAAAAGTGTTACGTATGATCATCAACAGTAATACCTGTCTCACAAAAGTTTGACAAAATATGACCAAAATATGATGCAGGTAAGCATTATTAATGCAGCAATCACAAATCTGGTCGTCAGCCTTATTCAGCAAGTACTCTAGAAGACATATCTTACCTTTATTATTGGAAAAGCATTCAGCCACTTTATAGCAAGGCACGAATGTGGTGAATTTGTAGTATTTGAATATAGTCAGAATATACACATGTATGTACATCTTTGGAAATTGGGCTGTTTTATAATTCTAAGCTTCACAGTGTTTCACTGATAAATGTTGGTACCTGCATGTGTTGTTGATCAAGCTGACTAGGTGGAACCATCCGAACTTGCTGTGAGGGCTGGTTATGCTGCATCTGCTGTGCAATGTTAAGTGGCTGCTGCTGCTGCTGCTGTTGCTGCTGCTGCTGGATGGGTATAGACTGACTGTGGGGGGAGGGTGGCAACTGGGACATCCCTGGACCTGTCAGAGATTAATAAAATCTATTACCTGTAACTGAGCGAAATTGGTTAACATAATTCCAACTGAGGCATAAGCTACAGTTGAATGCTTCGGCGTAAAAATGTAGTTCACCCTTACAAAGAAGACAACGTATTTCACAGTGTATATTAATATATTTTATCTACAACACCAGATATCCAACAACATGAAAACAATACATAATCTGAGCATGAACATCGCTTTTTTCCCAATTTTTTTGGATACGCAAAATATTCGAGCAGAAGCTATTTTCCAGATTTTTTCTGCCTCAAAAAGTACCTGCACAAATTACATAGGCGTGCAAATTACATGGGTTTTCACGGTAAGGACAAAACAGAATATTTATAACGCAGATTGTCAATTTCAATTCCTCAAATGTCACATAAAGGTACCAGACAGATCAGATGAGACAGAAAAATTTAGTACTGGTATGACGTGGGATATCTCTGTCAGAGGTGCAAGAAATTGAGGATATCAAACAAGTTGTCATAACATACAAATTTTCTAAAAAGCCATTAGGCTGTTAGTTGACCTTCTTCCAACTCATAATAAAAAATATTACAAAAAAATATACATTGAGCTGAAACCATGAGTAGAATTTTGCTTCTTTATTCTAACTAAAATCCTAAATCTCTTACCTTACTTTTTTTTATTTGGTACATTTGACTATTGTGAGTGTTGGTCGATTTTATTCACTAGACAAAACCTGATGTGTTAACTGGGAGATATGTAGCCACTAACCTGATGTGTTAGCTAGGAGATATGTAGCCACTAACCTGATGTGTTAGCTAGGAGATATGAAGCCACTAACCTGATGTGTTAGATTGGAGATGTGTTAGTTGGGAGATCTGTAGCCACTAACCTGATGTGTTAGCTAGGAGATATGAAGCCACTAACTTGATGTGTTAGATTGGAGATCTGTAGCCACTAACCTGATATGAGTAGAATTTTGCTTCTTTATTCTAACTAAAATCCTAAATCTCTTACCTTACTTTTTTTTATTTGGTACATTTGACTATTGTGAGTGTTGGTAGATTTTATTCACTAGACAAAACCTGATGTGTTAACTGGGAGATATGTAGCCACTACCCTGATGTGTTAGCTAGGAGATATGAAGCCACTAACCTGATGTGTTAGATTGGAGATCTGTAGCCACTAACCTGATATGAGTAGAATTTTGCTTCTTTATTCTAACTAAAATCCTAAATCTCTTACCTTACTTTTTTTTATTTGGTACATTTGACTATTGTGAGTGTTGGTCGATTTTATTCACTAGACAAAACCTGATGTGTTAACTGGGAGATATGTAGCCACTACCCTGATGTGTTAGCTAGGAGATATGAAGCCACTAACCTGATGTGTTAGATTGGAGATCTGTAGCCACTAACCTGATATGAGTAGAATTTTGCTTCTTTATTCTAACTAAAATCCTAAATCTCTTACCTTACTTTTTTTTATTTGGTACATTTGACTATTGTGAGTGTTGGTCGATTTTATTCACTAGACAAAACCTGATGTGTTAACTGGGAGATCTGTAGCCACTAACCTGATGTGTTAGTTGGGAGATCTGTAGCCACTTACCTGATGTGTTAGCTGAGAGATATGTAGCCACTAACTTGATGTGTTAGCTGGGAGATATGTAGCCACTAACTTGATGTGTTAGCTGGGAGATATGTAGCCACTAACCTGATTTGTTAGCTAAGAGATCTGTAGCCACTAACCTGATGTGTTAGCTAGGAGATATGAAGCCACTAACCTGATGTGTTAGATTGGAGATCTGTAGCCACTAACCTGATGTGTAAACTGGGAGATTTGTAGCCACTAACCTGATGTGTTAGCTGGGAGATCTGAAGCCACTAACCTGATGTATTACCTTGGAGATTTGTAGCAACTAACCTGATGGGTAAGCTAGGAGATATGTAGCCACTAACCTGATGTGTTAGCTGGGAGATATGTAGCCACTAACCTGATGTGTTAGATGGGAGATCTGTAGCCACTAACCTGATGTGTAAACTGGGAGATTTGTAGCCACTAACCAGATGTGTTAGCTGGGAGATCTGAAGCCACTAACCTGATGTATTACCTTGTGGAGATTTGTAGCCACTAACCTGATGTGTTAGATGGGAGATCTGTAGCCACTAACCTGATGTGCTAGATGGGAGATATGTAGCCACTAACCTGATGTGTTAGATGGGAGATCTGTAGCCACTAACCTGATGGGTTAGATGGGAGATCTGTAGCCACTAATTACCTGATGTGTTAGGTGGGATATCTGTAGCCACTAACCTGATGTGTTAGCTGGGAGATCTGTAGCCACTAATTACCTGATGTGTTAGCTGGGATATCTGTAGCCACTAACCTGATGTATTACCTGGGAGTGCTGTTGAAGGAACTTTAAAGGGACCCGGATTCTGGTCCACAAATGTCGTCATTGGAGGAGCTGGGGAGAGTTGATGTGTTCCTGGGCTCAGAACAGATGCTATAATAAGACGCAAAGATATTTATTACTTTTACCAAGCATTTAAATTCAAGTGTATGTAATTTACAATGTATATATCCCCCTCTGACCAACAAGATATGCATTTACATGTAACCTTGAAAATTTATCTTTAAAAGTGATAAAAACAGATTCCAGAAAAATCTCACATTTTTTTGCAATATTGTATCTCATACTCTCCTTCCTAATCCAGTATTGTCACAACAAGTTCTATGACTGGGAGCAGTGACATGTGGATTACATTACTGGGAAGACAATGATTGTTAGTGTGGGTGTCATTCCAAGACAGGTATGTTCCGATTTTTTGACACTGAGAAAGTATAAAATAGATGTAAGTATAAATGGTTGCTACGGTAACGTGAGATAATTGTAGCTTACCTGTCTTGTCTTGTTCTGGGGCTGGACTGGGAGATCTTTCTGTAACATATCAATGTAAACTTCAATCAATTTCCCCTGATGAACATATAAACAGGTGAAAGCACTAGAGAGGTACTAAAAAACTCTTTTGTAATTTCTTTTATTTTTAACCATCACAGGGACTTTTGATGTTATGTGTATTAATATACTGTATATAATATCTTCAGCGTTTTATATGGCCAACACTTTACCTTCCAGTTGGTAGCCATGTAACAGAACAAGATGGCGCGGGTCTATAGTGTACTCCTTGGCTGAAACCATGCTGATCTCGGGGGTGGTGGACTGCCAATGAAACAGGATTCACAACATCAATATCTCAGATCACACGCATCACCTTAATTATCCCTTTAAATTTCACCTCTATGTAACTTGAGTAGACTCTACCATGCATTGATATGGATGAGTCCATTATGGTCTACAGCGGTGAAAGGGTTAGACTACAAACCCTTTGTTAACTGTAGATTAGTAACTCTTTACTATTTGATGCACTACCTTTATACTTTTTGTTAATACATGCGATTTGGGAAAATGTTTTAACAAGTTGTCAGGGAAAAAAAACCTATTTCTCATATTTCCTCTGATGAATTAAGTCAAAATTTGGATCTCAAAATAGCCTATGGAAATATATACATTGTAGATAAGAAATTTAGCTAAAAAGGTTCACAATCCAGTAACATGCCAGTGAACAAACCAAATAATGACTTTGGAACAAACAATGTATAAATAAATGTCAAAGTTTGATTACTGTACATGAACATTTTCTATAACAGAATCTACATTTTGTAAATCTAGTGTTTTGCACTGACTTAATAAGATGATCTATATATATCAGGTGTGGTAAACAATATACTAGCATTCATGACTGAAATTCTCAATTGTCACCACAGATTTCAAAATTTGAGTATTTTAACAATTTTGGAAAATTCAATAATTATCATCCTGAAAACTTGTAGTTTTATTTTTGTATGTGTATATACTGTATACTGTACAAGTATCCTACCTCCTCGTAAAGCCTCTGTAACGCTGACAGCCTCCGAGGGGATACTATAGACAGGTTAATATTCCTCTGAAAAATCAGCATAAAAAGAATAACATTAGCTAGCTACATACATTTGGGAAATATCAATATCAAACAACGATATTGTGTACTTATCGAACTAAACAAAACAAAATAAATTTTCAGAGAAACCACAACGTCAGAAACATAACGAAGACAAAGAATTAAGGCTTAAAAGACTTTTTAAACAATAAGGAGATGACAAACCTGTTTAACCTTGTTTAATGTCATTAAAAATTACATGCATGTGTGTGTGTGGTAGTATAGGGTGGGGGGAGTGATGCAAAGGTTATTCTTGGAACGTTCATCTTCACATTTAGACAGAGTTACTTTTCCATCAAAAATTATGGTCTTTTTTCATTTTTTTAAATGGACTTAATTAAAAAGAAGATGCATCAAATTTCAATGTATTGTAGTGTTATCATTAAAGCTAGAAATTCTACTTTGTCATTTAATTCAGCTGACATTTAATACACCTTTAATGGCCCTATAAACCGTTTAATAAAATATATTGAATCGGTCAACACTCATTTGGCTAAATTTGAAAAATAACCACTTGTATCAAAATTAACAAGAAAACTGATGTGTACTTTTAATATTAATAGTTATTAAAAAATATCAGGTTTGGCTATTTTGTATTATGGGGAAATTCTACACTGAACATTACCCAATAGTATCATTACCTCATAAACAAGACAAAACAGAGAGCCAATACTTAATGTGAACATTTTGGATCAGTGATATCTGAAACCTGTCCATTCTGATCGAAGTCCAGCCCCAGTAGTGTTTACCATCTGAAACCTGAATAAAGGAGACCTTCCCCAACCTCAAGTGTAACTGTACATATGAATTAGCTCATTCACCCCTGAAATTCCATAATGAACTATTCCAACCTTTGAATTGGAGGAGTTCAAATGTGTCTTCAGGGGTGAATGAGTTATATATAATTTGTAAACACATATCTATTTTAAATAGACTTATGGGTTCTTTTAGATTGGATGGGAAAGGTTTCTCTGTAAATAAAATGTTCATTACCTGGGCCATCTTGTGTGCCAGTTGATCAGCCATGTATCCAAGGTAGCGGGTGCCCTCCTGACTAGGTAGCTGGTAAGGCTGGGAGTTACATACCAGTATGCAGTGCTGTTTCACTGGTAAACTGACAAAGATGAAACGAAATCCATGAAAAGGTCAAATATCTTTGGAGATGTTTAATATTTGTTAACAACCTTTTTCAATATTCTACACAAAATTTAAATCTATGATTTATCAATCAGTTGTACACTATAATAAAATCTATGATTTATCAATCAGTCGTACACTATAATAAAATCTATGATTTATCAATCAGTCGTACACTATAATAAAATCTATGATTTATCAATCAGTCGTACACTATAATACAAGAGATCCCAGAGGGATCTTGGCGCCCACCTTTGTACCATCTTCATTAGTTCTTTGTTAGCTCAATCTTTTCTCCTCTTTCCTCTAATCTGTTTGATCGAGTCATGTTAACAGTAAATGCACCTTGAGGTAACTTTTGATCTAAACTTAATACTGATGTGTATGAAAGCCAACCTTCAAAGTGAGTTTGTCATTTCACATATTTACTAGTACAGTACTTAATGTGAAAGAAATAGAATCGATCATTGCAATATGAGAAAGATCTGTTTAGTTCTTCTTTTAATCNAATAAAATCTATGATTTATCAATCAGTCGTACGCTATAATAAAATCTATGATTTATCAATCAGTCTTACACTATAATAAAATCTATGATTTATCAATCAGTCGTACACTATAATAAAATCTATGATTTATCAATCAGTCGTACGCTATAATAAAATCTATGATTTATCAATCAGTCGTACACTATAATAAAATCTATGATTTATCAATCAATCACTATAATAAAATCTATGATTTATCAATCAGTCGTACACTATAATAAAATCTATGATTTATCCATCAGTCGTACAATAAAAGAAAATCTATGATTTATCAATCAGTCGTAGACTATAATAAAATCTATGATTTATCAATCAGGCGTACACTAAAATAAAATCTATGCTTTGTCTGTCCCTAACACTGTGAAGAGATGACATAAAATCTATGATTTATCAATCAGGCGTACACTAAAATAAAATCTATGCTTTGTCGGTCCCTAACACTGTGAAGAGGTGACATAAATATTACTTGATATTCATGATAAAACATGGTGCACATTTCTTTTTCTTGGAAATTGTTTTTATCGTACACTATAATAAAATCTATGATTATCAATCAGTCGTACGCTATAATACAAGAGATCCCAGAGGGATCTTGGCGCCCACCTTTGTACCATCTTCATTAGTTCTTTGTTAGCTCAATCTTTTCTCCTCTTTCCTCTAATCTGTTTGATCAAGTCATGTTAACAGTAAATGCCCCTTGAGGTAACTTTTGATCTAAACTTAATACTGATGTGTATGAAAGCCAACCTTCAAAGTGAGTTTGTCATTTCACATATTTACTAGTACAGTACTTAATGTGAAAGAAATAGAATCGATCATTGCAATATGAGAAAGATCTGTTTAGTTCTTCTATTAATCGATTTTGTTTTTATGATCAGTCTCAAAATATAAAATACACAACGAGGGATCAAGGGGAACATACATTTAAAATTTGAGAAAGAACCCTCCCATACTTCCCGAGAAATAGCGATAACAAACTTTCAATATCAAAATCCAAGATGGCTGCCTCTCGACCATGTTGTTTATCCAATCAGTCTCAAAAAAATGCCCTGCACAGCTAAGGACCAAGGGGAACCTACATATAAAATTTGAGAAAGATCCCTCTGGTACTTCTTGAGAAATAGCGATAACAAACTTTCAATATCAAAATCCAAGATGGCTGCCTGTCGGCCATGTTGTTTATCCGATCAGTCTCAAAAAAATGCCCTGCACAGCTAAGGACCAAGGGGAACCTGCATATAAAATTTGAGAAAGATCCCTCTGGTACTTCTTGAGAAATAGCGATAACAAACTTTCAATATCAAAATCCAAGATGGCTGCCTGTCGGCCATGTTGTTTATCCAATCAGTCTCAAAAAAATGCCCTGCACAGCTAAGGACCAAAGGGGAACCTACATATAAAATTTGAGAAAGATCCCTCCGGTACTTCTTGAGAAATACCGATAACAAGAATTGTTTACGGACGGACCACGGACGACGGACCACGGACGCAGGGTGATTTGAATAGCCCACGATCAGATGATGGTGGGCTAAAAATCTATGAGTTATCAATCAGTCGTACGCTATAATGAAATCTATGATTTATCAATCAGTCGTACACTAGAATAAAATCTATGATTTATCAATCAGGCGTACACTAAAATAAAATCTATGCTTTGGCGGTCCCTAACACTGTGAAGAGATGACATAAAATCTATGATTTATCAATCAGTCGTACACTAAAATAAAATCTATGCTTTGTCGGTCCCTAACACTGTGAAGAGATGACATAAATATTACTTGATATTCATGATAAAACATGGTGCACATTTCTTTTTCTTGGAAATTGTTTTTATAAATAATGTTTCTTTTAAATCTATGTCTTTCTTGATTGAGCCTGAAATGATTACTTGATTGGACATGCAAGCAATTTTGACTAAGTTGTTATTCGTACTACAAATTTATCAATTTCTGCGGGCGGTTGCATTGCAATACAATGTACTTACCCAGGGTTATTTCTTTTCTCCGCTATGTCATCAAACACGTGTAAAGCTGTGCTCAATCCTTCCGCTATGTGGCTGTAGGTTTCCCCTCCACCACCAATAAAACTGCAAAAAAAAGCAAAAAAAAAAAAGCGGCCATCATTGGTAGAAACTGTCAATTCACATATATATATATATGTATGCATACAAAATAAAATCCACATGAAATATTACATGCCGATATAACGATATATTGATAAATGAAGCACAGGCTCTAAATGAAAGTGCTGAATTTACTGTTCAAAATCGAACATAAGCATGTGTAATTGAAACTATGGGTATGTATAGATTTTTTTTATGAAATACAAAGAATTAATCCAGTTAATAGCTCAGACACCATTTGTGCATATGACACCAATGCCAACAGAATGATCCCCATGTCACTTTTGTTTTGTTGGCGACACAAAAAGTATTTCTATCAGCTTTCTCATGTAATTTCCCAGTGTCACGAAATGTATAGTTATGTCCCTTAATTGTGATGTCATAATGTGTAATGATCAGAAATGAACGATGAAGTGAAGAGATGTGTCTCTTACGATTCTACACAATGTGATGTCGTATATTCTATAATTAGTTTTTCTGATGTAGAGTATAATGATGTCTAGATATGAGCGACTGATTACATCTATTTTTCCATTTCAACAGGTGTAAAGAGAATCCGTTTTTCATATGATTGGTTCTACTTTTTATTTTTGGCAATTATTACACTTCAAGCCAAGCTTTCTTCTAAACATTTAGAGGATGTGGTGTCTCACCAAGTCAGATTTCTACTTACGGAATGCTATCTAGCCAGGTCAGGAACTCATGGATGTTCGTTGTCAGATTGGAACAGCGAGCTGCAGAGTCTGGGAGGATGTCCGCAGAGTAAAATGTGACCAAGTTGTAAAGAGTGCAGCTATACTGTCGTTTGAATAGAAACAGAATCCTCATATCATTTATGAACCAACAAACTTCCAGTAGATCTCTTTTTCATATTTGCTGATTTGTTTTCATTTCATACAGTCGGAAATTCTATCATTGTATGGTCATGAATAACAATATTTGTTCTAATTTACTAGCATAATTACATACATAATATTTCCATGTTGTATGCGGAGATTTTTTAACCTTTACAATGTGTTTTAAAATATACCTACATCATGTCCATAATCTGTCGGATCAGGGGGACCTCCATTGAAAACTCTGTGAATAAATAAAAAAATCATGATTCATTAATTACATATCTTTTTCTGATGCATCAAATTCAGTGAGATTAAGTGCTGTTTTTTTTCATTCAATGCCAGTGTTCCATTTAAATGGTACACCCATAGACGATCTCCATGAAAAATACTGTAGGTGTATGGGAATCATTAACTTCAGAGATAAAGTTGTTTATTAAGTCTTTTCCGAGCAGTTTATATATATATATGTGTGACAAATTTTAATTGTACATAGGATTATGGTCACCTTCTAGCTTTGAGCTAGGGGGAGGGGACCTAGGGATCCCAGGTTTGATTCGCGGTTGAAGCACACTTTTCTCTTTCCTGTTACAAATGCTGTCCATGGCCCTACATGTGGTGACAGGGAGTTAGAACCTGGTTTGTGGTGTTCGAGGGCGAACACGTTTGAAAAGGGGGAATTAATGTGGCAGATTTTAATTGTACATAGGATTACGGTCGCCTTCTAGCTTTGAGCTAAAGAGAAATTCCCTTTAGCTTGTTTGTAGAGTGTCGGACTAGGAACCTAGTGATCGCAGGTTCCATCCCCGATTGAAACACACTATTTTCTTTCCTGTTACATATTATATACATGTGATTTTTAGATGCATGTTAGATAGTTAGAGTTCTTATCGGGCCATCAACACAGAAGATGTCTTTAGGGCTATAAATACATGTAAGGAGAAGCATGGGTAAGTGTAGAAATGAGGGGAAGGTGCTCAGAGTAAAGCTGAAAGTATAAGCCAGGTCAGGTTGAAATTTCCCAACCATTAACTTGAGACAGACACTCTGATCAACTTTTAGCTTCCTGGTCTAACTTCCTGGGTGACATTACATTCAGTCACAAGAAAAATGGACCTTCTTCTGCAAATAGTTGATACCTGTTGTGTAAAACTGTTCCTTAGAGTTTTGAAATAGCTGTCAACATTTTGATCAGCACATTTGCAGAGATAACAAATAATCTTTCAGTGTGTGTATGGACACTAACCAAGTGCAAATGTTCCTAAAAAAAGAAAAACTTTAATTGAATTGCGCAATTAATGTACAAATTTTCCAAAGAGACGTTCTGACTATATCCGACGGCGCCCTTGGCAAGTTTAAAGAGGAATAGTCTGTTCTTTCAGTTTCATACTACTCGCCGGTCGTTACCAACTATACGATATATATGAACATTTTGATAGCATGCCCCTTATCATCCCACAGAGCCGATGTCCTCCTTATGCTCATAACANATAAATTTTGCCCCCCCCCCCCCCCCCCCCCCCCCCCCCCCCCCCGCGCACTTTACATTACTTTCCATTAATTAAATAAGTGACAAGTGGAATACATAGCATGTCAACAACACAATGGTTATACTATTAGAAAATATAACCAACCAACGTGATATGTTACAGCCTTACTCTAAAGTGGGGACGATATAATGGTCTTTCAAAGTGTCGATGTATCCCCCAAGATTTGCAGTTCCCTCCACCACGAACACGACATCAGCAGTAGGCCTGTCATCCGATCCCACCACCATGACTGTTTTCTTATGATGTCTTGTTTGTTTATCTCCTGTTGAACTTATCGAATAAGACCGTCAAATTGGAATGAAGCTCGGGTTTTCCCATATGTTTAAATTTCTCAGTTCTAATAACTGAGATACCGGATATAGAAATATTACATCCACCAGGTGTCTTGTGAGTCCGCGGACCTACTGCGTAGTAATAAATGCTAAATGCATTAAAATATAGTTCTATTGGTTCATCTTCCTTTTTATCCATCCAAAACAAAAAGTCATGTTATTTGTTTTAAATATAATGTAACAATCGTTTAATATATCTATATAGTTATCAATGAGTTATTTAAACTACCCTTGTCATAAACTACTTAGGGCCTGTTCGTTTATGCGGAGCAACCGGTTTGACTGTTTATAAATGAAACAATTTCGTGTACAAATCCTGGCGGACCTCCAAATGTTTATCAATGCCTTGCAATGCTTTGTCATGGCTCGCCTGGAAATACCATCGGATAACTAGGAGGTCCGACCTTATTTAATACACGAACAATTGTGGTTCGACCGGTTTGACCGTTTAAACGAAAACGGCCTAATATTTCTGGGGGTTGCACTAAAGATATGATCGGAAAACCATGAAAACCATCAGTGGTTGTTCGGTGTAGCTGAAATGGGAGGTCAGTGTAACTCTGACTTCCAGTTTATTGTCGTGATGCGTGCACGTGTGTACTAAACTATGTAATGTTGCATTGATTAATATACCAATGCATCAGGTTATAATTACAGCAGTGTTTTCTTTAAGAGGGAGAAGGATGAGGTTTGAGATAATGCCGGGTTATTTAAATTTAAATTTCAAAATTTAGAGGAAGTTGTAAGTCCTTCCACTCGATTGTTTTGGTGTCGTGCAGATATTTTCAACTTTAATGATATTAGCAGTTTAGTTGACTGGACAACTATTCACACAAAAACTTGTCGAGGAAAACTCAACTATTAAATTATTAAAAGGGAGAAAGTTACTTTTTGGAAGGTATGAAGAAAACCATGATCTCACTCTTTCTATTTTTGCGAATTTTTCAAACAGATGCCACTTGTTTATGCCAAATGTGAAACAGACCGGCAGCTTCACACCTATACTTAAAAGTCTAGCGTTGACTTTCGTATTGCTGTACATAATATGTCAATGACTCGAGCTGGACGTAAACAGGTCCATGTGGGCTACAGTACGACTCCAGATGGAGAAAACCATGATCTCACTCTTTCTATTTTTGCGAATTTTTCAAACAGATGCCACTTGTTTATGCCAAATGTGAAACAGACCGGCAGCTTCACACCTATACTTAAAAGTCTAGCGTTGACTTTCGTATTTCTGTACATAATATGTCAATGACTCGAGCCGGACGTAAACAGGTCCTTGTGGGCTACAGTACGGCTCCAGATGGACGTACACAGGTCCCTGTGGGTCACATGAAGGCTCGAGCACGACGTAAACAGATCCCTGTGGGCTACAGAACGACTCCAGATGGACGGAAACAGGTCCCTGTGCGCTACAGTACGACTCCAGATGGACGTAAACAGGTCCCTGTGGGCCACATTAAGGCTCGAGCACGACGTAAACAGGTCCCTGTGGGCTACAGTACGACTCGAGCTGGACGTAAACAGGTCCTTGTGGGCTACAGTACGACTCCAGATGAAGAAAACCATGGTCTCACTCTTTCTATTTTTGCGAATTTTTCAAACAGATGCCACTTGTTTATGCCAAATGTGAAACAGACCGGCAGTTTCACACCTATACTTAAAAGTCTAGCATTGACTTTCGTATTGCTGTACATAATATGTCAATGTCAATTTGGCGCAGATTATATATAGGACTCACCGGTGGTTCTTAATCGGTCTCCAGTGTTCCTTTACAAAATAATACACAAAGTAAAGGTGCCTTTAAACCCCCATAGCGTTACAAAACTACTTCTCTGTTATTGGTGAGGAGTTTTCAACCAGATTTGTTAAGAAGCATCACTACACGAAGGGAACGTGGTGTTGCTATTTTTTATTCAAACCTATTTTTATTTGCATCTATTATACAATTGGGATTGGGCACAAGTTGTCCAACTTATATAACGCCTTTTCCAATGTGGTGCTGTATAACGAAGGGTGTACCAACAAAGGTAGATAGATATACGGGAAATATCGGTTTATCTTTAAAAGATTATTGATTTGTATAAGAATTGCTTGTTCCTAAAAGCCTTGATGCCGTAAGACTGATATGTGGAATGTCTGCGTTACACCTCTAAGTATCGACTGTGACATGAATGCATCCAAGATCTCCGCCGTGATACGTGTACCGATGTCAGTTACGGGAAGATAAAACATGTAACTCTACTAAAAACATTCAAAAATCGAATGTACATTGTATATGATATTCAACTTTTGCTATATTTGCTAATAAATTAAAAAAAAATCATGCAAGTCATTTGAATTGAATTTTCAAACGATTTAAATGTAAACTTTAAAAACAACCAGGAGAAAAAACCTGTGAGCTACGAATCCTACTGGACATACACAATGACAACTGTATCTTAATCTCATGTCCCTGTACTCGTGCTGGAAGAAGACAGGTCCCTGCAGTAGGCCACAGTGAGACTTGAGCACGACGTAAACAGGTCCCTGTGGGCTACAGTACGACTCCAGATGGACGTAAACAGGTCCATGTGGGCTACGGTACGACTCTAGCTGGACGTAAACAGGTCCCTGTGGGCTACAGTATGACTCCAAATGGACGTAAACATGTTAATTCCTGTGGGCTACAGTACGACTCTAGCTGGACGTAAACAGGTCCCTGTGGGCTACAGTACGACTCTAGCTGGACGTAGACAGGTCCCTGGGGGCTACAGGACGACTCTAGCTGGAGGTAGACAGGTCCATGTGGGCTACAGTATGACTCCAAATGAACGTAAACATGTTAATTCTTGTGGGCTACAGTACGACGCCAGATGGACGGAAAAAGGTCCATGTGGGCTACGATACGACTCTAGCTGGGCGTAGACAGGTCCCTGGGGGCTACAGGACGACTCTAGCTGGAGGTAGACAGGTCCATGTGGGCTACGGTACGACTCTAGCTGGGCGTAGACAGGTCCCTGGGGGCTACAGGACGACTCCAGATGGACAGAAACAGGTCCCTGTGGGCTACAGTACGACTCTAGCTGGACGTAGACAGGTCCCTGTGGGCTACAGTACGACTCCAGATGGACGTAAACATGTTCCTGTGGGCTACAGTACGACTCTAGCTGGAGGTAAACAGTTCCATGTGGGCTACAGTACGACTCCAGATGGACGTAAACAGGTCCCTGTGGGCTACAGTACGACTCGAGCTGGACGTATACAGGTCCCTGTGGGCTACAGTACGACTCTAGCTGGAGGTAAACAGTTCCCTGTGGGCTACAGTACGACTCCAGATGGGACGTAAACATGTTCCTGTGGGCTACAGTACGCCTCTAGCTGGACGTAAACAGTTCCATGTGGGCTACAGTACGACTCTAGCTGGACGTAGACAGGTCCCTGTGGGCTACAGTACGACTCCAGATGGGACGTAAACATGTTCCTGTGGGCTACAGTACGACTTTAGCTGGACGTAAACAGGTTGGATACACGAAACTATTTGTTTTCCAAACAAACTGCTCCAAAACTTCAGCTGTTAATTTCTTACAGAATGCGCTAATGCAAATGTACTTAGCATGTATGCACTGCTCACAGTACTAAACATATTGAAACTTCCCATATTTCAGTAAAAGTCCTTATTTTTAAGTTGTGTTATTTGACTGACGTAATTGCAAGCGTGTAAAACATATTGTGTTATGTGTAGCTATATCAGGTTAATCTGTTCCATATTAAGGGAGCAGCATCAAATATTTACCACCCATACCAGACTTAGTGGTTTCAGGAACTGCAGCTTAAGGAAGTACACTAATAGCCCGGCAAAATGTCGCACTTTCTCTAATGTGTATGTGTGGTATGAAAGAGTTTGTGTTTCATAACCTTTAATTCAGATGTCATATATCATACTGCCTTTATAGCAATGACTGTACGGATGACTGTAAGGGAAGAATGGCAGTGTCTAGTAAGTCTTATCGTATACTTGATGTAAAGGTGGATGTAGGATGCAGAGGTGGATGTAGGATGTAGAGGTGGGTGTAGGATGTAGATGTTGATGTAGGATGTGGAGGTGGGTGTAGGATGTAGAGGTTGATGTAGGATGTGGAGGTGGGTGTAGGATGTAGAGGTGGATGTAGGATGTATAGATGGATGTAGGATGTAGAGGTGGATGTAGGATGTAGAGATGGATGTAGCATGTAGAGGTGGGTGTAGGATGTAGGGGTTGATGTAGGATGTGGAGGTGGGTGTAGGATGTAGAGGGGGATGTAGGGTGTATAGATGAATGTAGCATGTAGAGATGGATGTAGGATGTAGAGATGAATGTAGGATGTAGAGGTGGATGTAGGATGTAGAGATGGTTCTGGGTTGTAGAGGGGGATGTAGGATGTAGAGGTGGATGTAGGATGGAGAGGTGGGTGTAGGATGGAGAGGTGGGTGTAGGATGGAGAGGTGGGTGTAGGATGGAGAGGTGGGTGTAGGATGGAGAGGTGGGTGTAGGATGGAGAGGTGGGTGTAGGATGTAGAGGTGGGTGTAGGATGTAGAGGGGGGTGTAGGATGTAGAGGTTGATGTAGGATGTAGAAATGGATGTGGGATGTAGAGGTGGATGTAGGATGTAGAGGGGGATGTAGGGTGTATAGATGAATGTAGGATGCAGAGATGGATGTAGGATGTAGAGGTTGATGTAGGATGTAGAAATGGATGTGGGATGTAGAGGTGGATGTAGGATGTAGAGGGGGATGTAGGGTGTATAGATGAATGTAGCATGTAGAGATGGATGTAGGATGTAGAGGTTGATGTAGGATGTAGAAATGGATGTGGGTTGTAGAGGGGGATGTAGGATGTAGAGATGGAAGTAGGATGTAGAGGTGGGGGTAGGATGTAGAGATGGATGTAGGATGTATAGGTGGGTGTAGGATGTAGAGGTGGGTGTAGGATGTAGAGGGGGATGTAGGATGTAGAGGTGGAGGTAGGGTGTATAGATGGATGTAGGATGTAGAGGTTGATGTAGGATGTAGAGATGGATGTGGGTTGTAGAGGTGGATGTAGGATGTAGAGATGGATGTAGGATGTAGAGGTGGGTGTAGGATGTAGAGGTGGATGTAGGGTGTATAGATGAATGTAGGATGTAGAGATGGATGTAGGATGTAGAGATGAATGTAGGATGTAGAGGTGGATGTAGGATGTAGAGGTGGATGTAGGATGTAGAGATGGATGTAGGATGTAGAGATGGATGTAGGATGTAGAGATGGATGTAGGTTGTAGAGATGGATGTAGGATGTAGAGGTTGGTGTAGGATGTAGAGGTGGATGTAGGATGTATAGATGGATGTAGGATGTAGAGATGGATGTAGGGTGTATAGGTGGATGTAGGATGCAGAGGTGGATGCAGGATGTAGAGGTGGGTGTAGGATGTAGATGTTGATGTAGGATGTGGAGGTGGGTGTAGGATGTAGAGGTGGATGTAGGATGTAGAGATGGATGTAGGATGTAGATGTGGATGTAGGATGTAGAGGTGGGTGTAGGATGCAGAGGTGGGTGTAGGATGTAGAGGTTGATGTAGGATGTGGAGGTGGGTGTAGGATGTAGAGGTGGGTGTAGGATGTAGAGGTGGGGGTAGGATGTAGAGGTGGGTGTAGGATGTAGAGGTGGATGTAGGATGTGGAGTTGGGTGTAGGATGTAGAGGTGGATGTAGGATGTGGAGGTGGGTGTAGGATGTAGAGGTGGATGTAGGATGTGGAGTTGGGTGTAGGATGTAGAGGTGGATGTAGGATGTGGAGGTGGGTGTAGGATGTAGAGGTGGATGTAGGATGTGGAGGTGGGGGTAGGATGTAGAGGTGGATGTAGGATGTATAGATGGCTGTAGGATGTAGAGATGGATGTAGGGTGTATAGATTGATGTAGGATGTAGAGGTTGATGTAGGATGTAGAGGTGGATGTGGGTTGTAGAGGTGGATGTAGGATGTAGAGGTGGGGGTAGGATGTAGAGGTGGGTGTAGGATGTAGAGGTGGGGGTAGGATGTAGAGGTGGATGTAGGATGTATAGATGGCTGTAGGATGTAGAGATGGATGTAGGGTGTATAGCTTGATGTAGGATGTAGAGGTTGATGTAGGATGTAGAGATGGATGTGGGTTGTAGAGGGGGATGTAGGATGTAGAGGTGGATGTAGGGTGTATAGATAGATGTAGGATGTAGAGATGGATGTAGGATGTAGATGTGGATGTAGGATGTAGAGGTGGGTGTAGGATGCAGAGGTGGGTGTTGGATGTAGAGGTTGATGTAGGATGTGGAGGTGGGTGTAGGATGTAGAGGTGGATGTAGGATGTGGAGGTGGGTGTAGGATGTAGAGGTGGGTGTAGGATGTAGAGGTGGGGGTAGGATGTAGAGGTGGGTGTAGGATGTAGAGGTGGGGGTAGGATGTAGAGGTGGGTGTAGGATGTAGAGGTGGATGTAGGGGGTATAGATGAATGTAGGATGTAGAGATGGATGTAGGATGCAGAGGTGGATGTAGGATGTAGAGGTGGATGTAGGGTGTATAGATTGATGTAGGATGTAGAGGTTGATGTAGGATGGAGAGATGGATGTGGGTTGTAGAGGGGGATGTAGGATGTAGAGGTGGATGTAGGGTGTATGGATGGATGTAGGATGTAGAGATGGATGTAGGATGTAGATGTGGATGTAGGATGTAGAGGTGGGTGGAGGATGTAGAGGGGGATGTAGGATGTATAGATGGCTGTAGGATGTAGAGATGGATGTAGGGTGTATAGGTGGATGTAGGATGTAGAGGTGGATGTAGGATGCAAATGTGGATGTATGGTGTAAAATGTAGAGGTGGTTGTAGGATTTAGGATTTGGAGGTGGATGTAGGATGTTCAGGTGGATGTAGAATGTAGGATGCAAATGTGGATGTAGGATGTGGAGGTGGGTGTAGGATGTTAAGGTGGATATATGGTGTAGAATTGGATGTAGGATGAAGAGGTTACTAAGGTGACTCCATGTTATGCAATAGTTGTACATTTGACATTTTAGTTAACTATTTGAATTGAATTGAACTCATGAAGTCTGCTACAATCGCTTTCAGTTTTATAACCAAAACTCTGTAACATCGCATCGAAAAACTTTATAAAAATAAAATAATCGCCAATCCACGGATATTTTATAGGAGAATCGAATATCTGCTTCTTGCCTTAGAGAGTCTGGCTCTGGGCGATACTAAATGCCACAGCACAAGGTTAACTAATTGCTTGTTAATATTCTGTCCAATGTTCCTCCGTGACCTCCACAATGGTTTTCCCCTTCTTCTGATATGTGACTGTCCTTTTCTTCGTCACATTCTTGATTGGTGCATCTGTCTGCGTACTTGCATCGACTAAAAGCGTGCCGAAATTTAAACCATGGACCCCGGTTGTGCCTAATTGGTTATGCTTTAAGTTCTCAGTCCTTTCACTCGAATCAAAGTCAGAACTTGGTTTAGCTATCTTAGGTTTTGTGGCTATACCTGACAGTGAAGATGCCCGCTTTCTGACAGTCGAGGCTTGGCAAACAATATCGCGCTTCTCCTCTAGCGGCGAACAGGGAAATGCACCATTGCTACTTCCAACAACGTCCTCGCTGAGGTCGCCATTCTCTTGGTTTAAGGTAACGCTCCAATCTGGCTCCTGTTTCACTGCCTGTGGAGCGAGAAGATAACCCGGATCTTGCTCTTCCCATTCCCCTTCACTATCCGATGCCTGCTGAGGTTCGCTATGCCCAAATCGTCTTTGGTGTCTATCTAAATCACACTTCTTGACAGCGGCATAATCACATCCGGGGCACTCGAATCTTTTAAGCTGCCTCTGTCGGTTGCCGCATTCTACCAGATGGTTTGACCAAGCGTCATCCTCTCCGAATCTTCCTGCACACATCGGGCAGCGATTCCCTGACTTCTTTGATATTGTCCTCGTCTTTACCATTTTCCTGAAATTTACAAAATGTCACATAAGTTTTCTCACATGGATATATCATCTAAGCATCTTTATATCTTCATAACTCTTTGATACATGTACAAATTATATTCTTTCGTCCTTATTTTGTGCTTTGTTAGCTGTTATTCTAACATCCGAATTCTTATTTGTACACTATCACCGCGGGAGGGGGTCCAGACCAAGTTTAATTCCGACGCGAAGGACATGCCGTAAACAGTTTTAAAAGAGACCTTTGTCCGAAAAGTTTTGATCGCGTATATTGGATATTTTCACAAAAAACTATGACACAATCGTCATTTGATATTATCTTGAGCATCAATTGAAAACAACATGTATAATTACAAACAGGAGTTGAAGTTTTCAATTCCTTTTTGTCTTCAAAACGAACTTACAATTTATGAAACCAACAAGGTTTGGGGTTTACTGAGATGTATACTGACAATATCGCTGGGTTCCGTAGGCATATAATATTTCCGAGAGTTTGTTAACATTTCACGAAATTAAAATAATATATACCCAAGGTATGTTTTCAACTGTAATTTAAATGTGTTCCAAGTCGAATTAAGATACGATTGCCGGCGGGACCGTATTCTCCGGTAGTACCTGGTGATTACATACACTTATATTTCCATTTGCTCTGCATTGCCACTATATAACCTTACCAAACAAAGTAGAAATATATCAGATCATAATTCTGACAAAATTCCCATTTGGTGTAGTGATGTGAAGATCATGTTCGTGACGTCGTGACTAAATGACGTCGTTTTGACCGACGTCCCTATAGTTAGTGTATTATTGACGTCACGAAAAAAATAATACGTTTTCCTCGTGGTAAATCCAATTGATCAATGTAACTCGCAACAATTGATGTAGTTATGGTAAATAAAAGTTGAATATCCTCACAGTGGAATATATTGATTAAATTGTTGAAATTAAATTGATGATTTTGTGTTTATTTCCACGAACCAAATTTTTTGCCGGGAACGGTAGCGTGTATTCGTGACGTCACAAAAACAGGTCCCATTGACAGACAGCGCGAAATTTGACTTTGAAATGCGATAGTAGGTTGGAAATATAAGAAAAACTTTAATTAAAAACGAAGACATAAGTATTAAATTTTCTTTGGAAAGTTATTGTCCTATATATAGTTCTCACAGGATTGTATACAAATTAATCATAACGCGCTAACGCTTGTTATTCAATTTGTCTGCAATCCTGTGAGAATTATAAGACAATAACTTTCCAAAGAATATTCATGTATGGAACTATAGAACTCGAGTTGATTTTACTGACTAGTCACGTCTACCCGCGATATCAGAGTATCGAACGGATTTTCTCCACTTTTCCACAGATCTTGTTTCATGCATGCCGTACTACATACCGGTAGATATTTTATAACAATAAAACAATGATAGTTCATTGTATGGTTTTTTGGTTTTTTTCATAGATTATTGCTGTAAACGCTAAGTGGATATTTATAACATACGAACAATATATTATGAAGTAATCTCACAAATGTCAAAAAGTTGGAGAGTAAGCTCGCAAGCGTGATGTAAACTGTTTTGTCTGATACAGGACTGACCAGCACGCCTTCTCAACAAACAAGATTGGTATTTTCCTTTAGGCATAAATAGCACATACTTAAACTATAAACAGTCAAAATTTCGTCTGAAACATTTTTTATCATGCAAGCAATTACTTTTAGGAAATTGGTTTTACTGGTGATCTTTTTGGACAGATCTGAACTATAAGTGAATGACAATGAGAGCTTCTTTCTTTTAAATATTGACAACATCGTTGTAAACCGAGAGGTATATACATGTAGAGACGTATACATTATATATACGTCTCTGATACATTTAACTCGTGCAATGTATGTGTATCTAGTGTGATCGGATAGGACGCCGAGGCTTGAACCGACCACGGAATTAGATTTAGACCGGGAACCAATCAAACGTATGCAGCGTTAACTTGTTTATAATGCCCCCCTATACAGCTATATAATATAACATATAGAGCAGCGCCCGTGACCACCACCGCTTCACTGCATGATAGTATTACCTGGCCGCTTTCGTTTGTCGTGATTCAAATGGTTGAACCGGTTGGACTAGAGTTGTTCGTTTATGAAATAAAGTCGGACCTAGTAATGCAATGTTGTTTTCAGGCGAGCCTTGACAAAGCCTTGCAGGGCCTGCATAAACTTTTGCAGGTTCGCCATGATTTACACCTGACAATCACGTAACATTTAAAAACAGACAGACCGGTTGTTCCGCATAAACGAACAGGCTCTAGTGTCAGATTGTGTATACACACAGCCGCCACGCCATACCTATTTTGTTTGTACACATGTGTATATTTAAACTGGTACACAGCGAGGCCGTTAGCCGCGCCGCTGCAGTGTATCGCCGAGGTATGTTATGCTTGTGTGTGCTCTGAGCTAGGCGTGGCGTGCCGCTATCTCGTCAAACTCCCCAACAATAGTGTATGCACCTGACGGTCGGAATCGTGATTTACTTACCCTGGCATTTTGCAATACATGTACCCGTTTATCGAGCAGGGTTTCCGTTCATATATAATAACCATATACATACCTAGCTTACTTCACGCTGCCGACAATCTGGTCGCACTGTTTGCCCTTCGTCTACGTGTTGTTCTTGTTGTAGTTTCGTGTCGTCATTTCCGTATTGCGTATCGGGTATTTAAATGTATTGTAAGTTCAACGTTGCGTGTCGATAATACGTTAACACCCGATATCGAGACTTCACTTGGAAATGTGTAATTACAGGCACTTCAGAAATAAAGTCTTCGATACAGATACCAGAGACGTATATTATGTACATACATTGACTCTAGGGAACACACTGACATGAGACCAGAAACGCATGGAATGCGGGTTGATGCGTTAAAATTGTGTACCGACCCTACAGGAGATATCATGTGCTTACACCTGTTCACAAGCTCGAGATCGTTACGATTTTTGTGGTCGAGTATATCATTTTTACAAATGAAGTGTATTAATCATGTGAAAATAGTATCAAGATTTGAAAATGCATGTGTGGGTGCATGTGAAAACGGCATACCACGCGATCACAGGGACTTGAGAATGATTATGTGGTGGCATTTTTACTGAAAGTTGGTATAAACCGATGATTAACGTAAAATTACTCTGAATATCTTAGTTAAGGTCCAAATATAGCAGTAATATATTCTCATATCCCTGTACGTGCGATAGCCTGTGGCTACATGTACCTGAGTGACATGTAAATATACATGAAGATCAATGAATTGCTATAAATGTTGTTGTTTTTTGCCGTTATTTGATAACATCACCTTTACTTGTAGCAGAGACGTATATATTACGTCTCTGCTTGTAGGTATATGTGACTATGCATTAATGACCACCAGAGAGAGAAAAAAGGAATTTGGATTATCAGTAAAGTTTGATTGAAAAACGTATATAGTAGACATGCGCAACACTTGTATTTGTTAACCTCGTTTTCACATTATATGTACATTAATTTTGATATCATAAACTATATTATTTCCATATTTTTTTAGGGATATATGTAATGTTATCCCTCTGTAAAAAGTTACGATTGTTTTTCAAGGAAGACAACTCTCATCTGGATAGAATGTAAAATGTAAAATAAATGCATTATAAAACCATGGTGTATTTTTCGTTCAATTGTTCAATCTTTTCACATGAAACTATGTTTCGTGGTTGTTTTTAGTAATCACTTTTATCCATACAATTTCAATAAAAACACTTTGTGTAAAAATGTGTTATATATTTGTAATATATAAATAAATTATTTGTAGGGTAAATCAACAATGGCTCGTTTCGTTCTTTATTTTTGTTATATTTCCGAACAGTGCCACACGACCAAAAAAAGGAAAACATCAAAATTAACGGAAACTCAATTTGTTTTGTTGGTATTTAAAAAAAAAATCTCAGTCCATCGGAATGCTTTGATTTTCAAAACATCACCTCTACATAGATGCATGAGAGAGTGTGTGAAAATTTCAACCAATTCTGCTGGTTAATTGCAAAAGGGTGGAACCTCCTTCTCACTGACGGGGTTCACTTTCGGTTTCCATTATAGTAGCACCAACTTTTCTTTTCAAAAGAAGAAATTCATTTTGCATTACAAACAGTGCGTTGTTATTAAATAGAAAAGAAAAAGGAATTTTATAATGATGAAGGGGAAAAAAATTACAGTGTGTATTTTCATATGGTAACTATACTACTTTATATCAAGTTACCATTGGTTTCACTGTGTATCAAGTCCCCAAAACTTTCTTCTTATTCTTCTTCTTCTTGACACATTTCTCAAAACTATTGGACAGAAATTAATGAAACTTCACACAAGTGTTCATCATGGTAAGGGTGTGTGCAAATGATCTTATATTTTCAGATCGGTCAGCAAAGATGGCCGCCACGGCCTCTGATTGGTCAACATTTAATATTGGCCTATTTTGCTCAAATTCGGTATGTAGGTGTATTTTGGCACTGCGAACATAGCTGCGGGGGTGTTTAGGGGATTTCTGTAATGGTCCCCATTACAATTAGTACTTGTTTATATTGTATTTACCTTACGTGATGTAGCAAAAATGCTAGGTTGATGGGGATAGTATTATTGATTTAAATGTGTCATTCTCTCCTTGATCACCATTACTCTGCATTTATGTCATGGAATCATGGCTAATAAGTCAAGATTTCAATTAACAGAAAATACAAAATATGATTATACCGGGAACAATGAAAAAACATAATGATGAACAAGACTATTTCTTAAAACGATATTTTGTTGTTAGTTATTGATTTGAAATAATTAAACTAAACTGATGCATATGTAAAATGTGTACATGTATACCAGATTGTTTGGCCTTCGGTTCTAACCGAGTCAACAAGAGTGACAGTGAAGGTTTTTCCCCTACCGTATATATATTGTCATTATATATTAGGCTAGGGAAGACTATTTACTGACCAGGTTATCTTTTTTGTAAAGTGATAAATTACAAAGACAGGTATATCATACATTGATGACCAGAAAGCACCGGATGGGTATATATATCAAGATTGTATTACATATGATTATGTAGTTGACCCGAACATTTGTGGGATATTTCTTCACATTGATTGCTTCGGTCTTACTGATAGAAGGCATGGCAATACATTAAGTGTCGTAATACATTGATCGATTAATAGACACATTTGTGTGGCTGTACGCTAAATGCATCTTAAACAAAATCACTCATGTGTTCATGTGCATTTAAGGATATTCTATGATCGTTCAGTTTTTACAGATTTGATCAATCCCAAGTATTGGTTTGTTAGTTGAGTGGTACGTTATAAATACGTCTACCTTTCATTGACGAAAGTCTGTGTTTTGGCCGACGCGAAGGGGTAAGTTGCCGCTTACCAGGGGTCTATTCGTTTATGCGGAACAAACGGTACGTCCACTTATTAATGAAACATTTTGGGGTATAAATCCGGACTGACCTGCAAACGTTTATGCAGGCTTTAGGCTTTGAAAGGCTTTATCGAGGCTCGCCTGAAAGCAGCATCAGATTACTAGGTCTGACATTATTTGATAAACGAACAACTGTGGTCCGACCGGTTGAACCATTTAAACGAAAACGGCCAAGGGCCCTCTAAGATCCAAAGTGTCCTGGATCTATCCAGGGCCCTCTAAGATCCAAAGTGTCCTGGACCTATCCAGGGCCCTCTAAGATCCAAAGTGTCCTGGGCCTATCCAGGGCCCTCTAATATCCAAAGAGTCCTGGGCCTATCCAGGGCACACTCCAAGGTTGGACTGTTCCTCAGATGCGGATAGGCTGTCACCGTGGCTTTGGTCCACACACAGGGGCTCGCGACTACTATTAATATTGATTTTGTTTAATACTTTCAGTCGCTGGGTACGTTATATGCCAAAACCCCTGTCAAACAGCCTTCTCCCTCCCCCCCAACCCCTGTAACACAGCCTTGTCCCTACAACCCGTCAAACAGCCTTGTTCCCACAACGTACCCACCGACTGGAAGTCTAAAACAAGATCGATATTAATAGTAGTTGCGTGCCCCTGTGGTCCACAACCATGACTCCCAGGTAGTATGGTAAAGGTTTATATCAGTGCTGAGTGAACTTGATTAAAACACGACATTCCCGTTCTTCAGACATAGGAATGGATTGTTCAGGAATGTGCCTGTGCGCGCTGCTGTATACCGGTAAGTTATGATGTATTTTAAACGGAATCATATCTTGGTCAATCGATTACTGTATGTATCGCTCGTTATTAGTCAAGAAGCCAAGAGCTAAAATACTGTGTCGTGGACCAAAGAGTACTCACGTGATTTATCCTAATTATATGTTTCTATGATCATTTAGGATGATTTGAAATGCCTTCGAAAATTGTGATATCCTATTTATAAACACCTTAAATTGAAGGTATACAAGTACGGCTGAACGTCAAGGGTTTGGTGAATTTACTCTTTTGATGTCAGTACTTTATATATTACATTTATGCAATTTTAAAGGTCTGGTATTATGGGTGACGCCAGCATTATAGTAGTCTAAACTGTAACTCCATGACTGCTTATTACTGAGTCATTATTTAACTTTATAATCAATACAAATATTTTCAGAGTGGTTGTACAGTTTTATTCATTACAAACATTTTCAGAGTGGTTGTACAGTTTTATTCCTTACAAACATTTCTGAGTAGTTGTACAGTTTTATTCATTACAACATTTCTGCAAACATTTCTGAGTGGTTGTACAGTTTTATTCATTACAAACATTTCTGAGTAGTTGTACAGTTCTATTCATTACAAACATTTCTGATTGGTTGTATAGTTTTATTCATTACAAACATTTCTGAGTAGTTGTACAGTTTTATTCATTACAACATTTCTGCAAACATTTCTGAGTGGTTGTACAGTTTTATTCCTTACAAACATTTCTGAGTGGTTGTACAGTTTTATTCATTACAAACATTTCTGAGTGGTTGTACAGTTTTATTCATTACAAACATTTCTGAGTAGTTGTACAGTTCTATTCATTACAAACATTCCTGATTGGTTGTATAGTTTTATTCATTACAAACATTTCTGAGTAGTTGTACAGTTTTATTCATTACACCATTTTTACAAACATTTCTGAGTGGTTGTACAGTTTTATTCCTTACAAACATTTCTGAGTGGTTGTACAGTTTTATTCATTACAAACATTTCTGAGTGGTTGTATAGTTTTATTCCTTACAAACATTTCTGAGTGGTTATACAGTTTTATTCCTTACAAACATGTCTGAGTGGTTGTATAGTTTTATTCATTACAAACATTTCTGAGTGGTTGTACAGTTTTATTCCTTACAAACATTTCTAAGTGGTTGTATAGTTTTATTCATTACAAACATTTCTGAGTGGTTGTATAGTTTTAGTCCTTACAAACATTTCTGAGTAGTTGTACAGTTTTATTCCTTACAAAAAATTATGAGTGGTTGTACAGTTTTATTCCTTACAAATATTTCTTAGTGGTTGTATAGTTTTATTCCTTACAAACATTTCTGAGTGGTTGTATAGTTTTAGTCCTTACAAACATTTCTGAGTAGTTGTACAGTTTTATTCCTTACAAAAAATTCTGAGTGGTTGTACAGTTTTATTCCTTACAAATATTTCTGAGTGGTTGTATAGTTTTATTCCTTACAAACATTTCTGAGTGGATATACAGTTTTATTCCTTACAAACATTTCTGAGTAGTTGTACAGTTTTATTCCTTACAAAAAATTCTGAG